GCCTGGATTTTTTGCCACAATCATACGTAGACTTTAGTTTTTACCTGCAAAGAAATATTCAGGTTGTTTGGATTTGACATGGTATCACACAGAAATGCTTTATTTCTATAGAAATCTTTCAGGCTGGGTGTGGTTGCTCACACCTATAATCTTAGCACTCTGGGTGGCTAAGGCGGGAGGATCGCTTGAGTTCAGGAGCTCGAAACCAGCCTGAGCAAGAATGAGACCCTGTTTCTACCAAAAAGGAAAAAAAAACCAACCGGGCATTATGGCATGTGCCTGTGGTCCCAGCTACCCAGGAGGCTGAGGCAGAAGGCTTGCTTAGAGCCAGGAGTTGGAGGTTGCTGTGAGCTGCAATGATGCCAACGCATTCTGCCTAGGGTGACAGATGAGACCATCTCAACAACAACAATAAAATTTTTTTTCAATAATTCACATTGCTGGGCCAGGCACAGGGGCTCATGCCTGTATCCTAGACACTCTGGAGGCTGAGGCAGTGAGATCCCTCAAGGTAAGGGAGTTTGAAACCAGCCTGAGCAAGAGTGAGACCCGTCCTAGCTAAAAATAGAGAAAGAAATGTAATTGCCAACTAAAAAAAAATAAATATGATAGTATTATATATATGAGAGACGAGAGAGAGAAAATTAGCCGGGCGATGTGGCGGTGTGCTGTAGTCCAGTTACTTGGGAGGCATGGCAGCAGGTGCTTGAGCCAGGAGTCTGAGGTTGCTGTGAGACTAGGGCTGACGCCACGCACTCGCCACTCTAGCCAGGCACAGAGTGAGACTATCTCAAAAAAAAAAAAAATTCACATTGCTGATTCTGTTTTTCATAAAAGTTATCTGTTCTTGCCGGGCGCGGTGGCTCACGCCTGTAATCCTAGCTCTTGGGAGGCCGAGGGGGGGATTGCTCAAGGGTCAGGATCAAAACCAGCCTGAGCAAGCGAGAGACCCCGTTCTACTAGGTAAATAAGAAGAAATTAATTGGCAACTGATATATATATAAAAAATTAGCGGGCATGGTGGCGCATGCCTGTAGTCCCAGCTTCTCGGAGCTGAGGGGCAGAAGGATCGCTCGAGCCAGGAGTTGTGAGGTTGCTGTGAGCTAGGCTGACCGCCACGCACTCAACTCTAGCCTGGACAACAAACCGAGACTCTGTCTCAAAAAAAAAAAAAAAAAAGTTATCTGTTCTTGCAGAGACAAAATTTTGGCTAAACCTGTCTCTGCAATAGCCAAGATGCTTTAGAATGGTACCGCAAATCCACATGGAACACGTCACGGTTCAACTTTAGCATGTTACGGAACTGAGGACGCCATGTTGCAGCTGCCTCGTCATATTTTCCTGAATCTCATCGACGGTCTGAAATCTTTTCTCTTTCAAAGGTGATTTTAGTTTTGGGGAAAGCCAGAAGTCGCAGGGGGACATATCTGGGCTGTAGGGGCTGAGTCACCTGGGTGATTTGATGTTTCACCAGAAAGCTCTGCATGAGAGGTGACGCCTGGGTGGCGTGCTGTTGTGAGGAAGCTGCCAATCATCGGTTGCCCTCAGCTGCAGCCATTTTTGTCGCATTGCATCTCTCAGCCGAGGAAGAACATTCAGGTAGCACTTCTTATTAACTTTATGGCCTGGAGGAGCGCGCTCGTGATGGACAACACCTTCCCAATCCAAAAACAGTCAACGTGGGCCTGATCTTGCTGTGACTTTGCTGAGCCTTCTTCGGGCATGGAGAACCGGGAGACTTCCATTGGGACGACTGGGCCTTGGTTTCCGGATCACGGCACAGACCCACGATTCATTTCTGGTTACGACCTTCTTTAGAGGAGATCTGGCTCGCAGGTAGCGGTTTGAAGTGAGTCATTAGCAAATGCGGCAGGAAGTTCCTTCTGCTCTGGTAGCAGAAGCCGCAGGACACATTTTGCCGAGATACATTTCATGCCGAGATCCTCAGCCTTCTGGGTAGCTGGGACTACAGGCATGGGCCACCACACTTGGCTAATTGTTCTTTTTGGTAGAGATGGGGTCTTGCTGTGTTGCCCAGACTGGTCTCAAACTCCAGGGCTCAGGCAATCCTCCCACCTTGGCCTCCCAACATGCTGGAGGATTACAGGCGTGACCTACCATGCCCGGCCCAATTTTTTTTTTTCAGACAGAGTCTCACTTTGTTGCCCAGGCTAGAGTGAGTGCTGTGGCATCAGCCTAGCTCACAGCAACCTCAATCTCCTGGGCTCAAGCAATCCTCTGCCTCAGCCTCCCGAAGTAGCTGGACTACAGGCATGTGCCACTATGCCCGGCTAATTTTTCTATACATATTAGTTGGCCAATTAATTTCTTTCTATTTTTAGTAGAGATGGGGTCTCGCTCTTGCTCAGGCTGATTTCAAACTCCTGAGCTTGAGCAATCCGCCCGCCTCGGCCTCCCAGAGTGCTAGGATTACAGGTGTGAGCCACTGCGCCCGGCCGTTCTTCAAGATTTTCTCATTGTTTTTGGTTCAATTCAGTTGGAATATGTATGACAAGCCTAGGTATGTTTTTTGTTTTGTTTTGCTTTATTTTTTTGTCATTTGTCCTGCTTGATGTCTGTGTTTCCTGGATCTACAGTTGGTGGCTGTCACTGATTTTGCAATGTCCTCACCATTCTGCCAAATCTTTCACACCGCCCGCCCCTCTGGTGCTCCTGTTGCCCTGGTTACATCCCTTTGCCTTGTTCCTGGGTGGTCTGTTGTGGTGTTGATCCATCTTTTGTTCTCCTTGCACTTCAGTTTGGAAAGTTTCTATTGACCTCTTCACTTCCGATTCTGTCCTTTGTTCTGTAATGTCAGCGCATGAACCTGGGACAGCTTTCCTTACTTCTGCTCACGGCCCTGATTTCCACCATTTTCTTTTGATTCTGTCCTGTTGTTTCTACCCCGACATTGCCCATCTTGTCCTGCGAGTTGCCTACTTCTCCATCAAAACCAGTTCACCCAGCAGCTTCTGCCGTGGCGAGTGGTCTCAGGTGCTGTGTCTCCCTGGGTGTGCCTGTCTCCTAAGGCCGCAGGGCACCAGCTGTCCTGCCCCAGTTCTCTGCTCCTGGTTGGCAGTTTCCACGGCTCTTTTTGCCAGAGGGATGGGAGTGACGACTGCCAAGCACCTTCCACGCGGGAGCCGGTGCTGGGAGTTCTCCACTGCCGCGCGGCAGAGCCCAATTACTGGCGTGGCTTTTCCATTAAGTCTCCTTCCCAGGTTTCCTTCAGAGCCTGGGCGAGGGGCCTGCAGCCCTCTGCTAGTGTCCCAGCTCTCAGGACCAAGGTCCCTCCTGTTCACTTTCCATTTCAGAAGCACCGTTCATCGGGCAGCTTCAGAAAGGGCTCCCGGTGTGCGTTTGTGCTCACGGAACACCCTGCGGCGTGGGGCGGAGAGCCAGTGACTTTCTCCTGATGAACAGAGCTCTGCCTCCTCCTGAGGGTCTTCTCGGTCACTCGCTTTGGGCTTCTGTGTTGATTTCCAGTCAGCGGCTCCCGTAACAAATGACTGTGAACTAGGTGGCTTAAAATAACAGGAGTTTATTCCCTTAGGGTTCTGGAGGCCAGAAGTCTGACGTCAGTTTCACTGGGCTGAAGTCAAGGTGTTGGCAGGGCCAGGATCCCCCAGAGGCTACTAGGGGAATTGGTTCCTTGTTGCTTCCAGCCTCGGGTGGCTGCCAGCACTCCTTGGCTTGTGGCCTCATCATTCCAGCCTCCAAGGCCACGTCCTCAGATCGCTCCACCTGGCCTGCCCTTCCCTGTGCCTTCACATTTCCTTCTTCCTCTTATGAAGATTCACGTGACTGTGTTTATGGCCCACCCGGGTAATCCAAGGTGGATCAATTTAATCTCATCTGGAAAACATTTTTTCTGCATATGGTGACAGTCACAGGTTTCTGGGATTAGGACGTGACACCCTTGGGGGCTGTTTGCCTGCCCTGCGTGGCGTGCTCGGCCTCTTCCGTCCGGGAGGGCTGAAGGCCATGCGGCCGGCATGCTGGACTTTCTGACCTCATAGACTGGAGGCTCCGACCCCGGAGGGGTGGCGTTCAAAGGGTGCAAACCCGCTCTGCAGTCATCAGCTCACCCCACTGCGGCCCTCTGGGGTGAGGTTCTGTACGGAGTATGCAAGGTTGTACCCCCTAGTGGGACTGCTGGAGGCACAACCTGGCGCCCCGTGGGCGGCAGCAGGCCGCAAGCCGGCCACCAGCTTGCCCAAGCGCTCCACATTCTCTCACACACACTGGGGACCAATGAGGTGAGATGCCCCATTGGGTCGGGAGGGAAGCCGTGGCCTTACTGCAGCCCCAGGAGGGAGAGAATGGAACAGCTTTAGAGCTGGGAGGAGGATGTGGCCAGGCGGGAATGCCCACTTTCTCTCTCCCAGCCCTGCTGCAGCTGTCTTCTGCATGTGTTTTTATTTACCTACCCGTCCCAGTGTGAGCCGCTCTGAACAGCGCTGCCTCAGAGGCAGCGGGGAGGTGGAGGGGTGTGGGCACCCTGCGTTTCATCTAGGGGCCTCCGCACAACCTCAGGACGGTGGGGGGGGTTGCTCTTGGTCAGGCCATAACGGTTCTTACGATTTCCCACAAAACCAGCAAGGCAGGAGGCAGGAGGCTAGGCCGGGTGGACTGGGGAGAAGAGGATGCGGGCTCCCCTCATCAGCCCGTCCCTCCTTGCAGTCCCCAAGCAGAGCCTGGGTGATATGAGGGCATGCTGCACACAGACCCTCAGGGCTCGCAGCCCGTCTTTTCTGCCCTGGAGCCTCACCTGCTGGGGGGGCCAGACTGGGCAGCCAGGCCTGGCTGGGAGGGCCCACAGTGGAGCCCGTTTCCTGAGGGCCTTCCCTCTGTCCCTTGCTCAGGTGACAGACTCAGGAATTCTCTGTTTTTCTGTAAAGGGCCACCCTAGTGGTTCACCTCACAGAATTGTGTGGTTGAGGTAAGGCCTGTGGAACTCTTAGCAAGCATTGGCCAGCATTTCTTCAATACCAACGTACCCAACAAGCTCCCGCGGTGGTAGTGGCCCATCCTGGGTGCTGCTGCTCTTGGGGTACTTGCTTTGGAACAGAGACACAGGTAGGGTGGGCTTTCTGGTTTCCAGGGATGCCCCTGGCCTCCCTGGAGATCTGTCAACCACCTTCGGGGGTTGAAGCTGCCTCTTGACACAGCAAACTCCCAGTCAGGCTCTGCAGGTCTCCCGGGTCAGGACCGAGCTGGACAGGCTCCTCCACACAGCAAATGGGCACAAACGCTCCTGGAATCCGCGGGGCGCCCTGCGCTCAGGTGACGCCGCTAGGGGCACGTCTCAGCCTGGCGTCCTCCTCCGCCCCAGGACCGCGCCCTGCCCATCCCGGGACCCCGCCCTCCCCATCCCGGGACCGCGTTTTCCGCTCTCGAAGGCCGCGCGCCGCGTCTACACGAGCCCTCGGTCGTCGGGATAGCTGGAGACGGGTCCACACGGGCGCCTGGCCTGAGGATGCGATTCGACCAGGCAGGTATTTTGTGACCCAGGCCGACGAGGCCCTGCGCCCAAAAGTCGCCACCGCCCCTGCCGGGTCTGGGTTCCCCGCCCGCCCTGCCCGCGCACTCTAGGACCCAGCGGCGCCGCTCCGCCGTCCCGGGTGGGCGGGGCTCCGGCCATTGTGACGTCACGCGGGCGGGGCTGCCCGGCACCGGCGCGGACGAGCGGAGCGCGCGCGGGTAAGGGGCGCACGGGCCCGCCCGCCCGGCCTTTCCCGGGGTCCATGCAGGGCGGCCCCGGGACCCAGGACGCCCGGCCAGGGCACGCGTCACGGCTCCCCCGCCCCCGCCGTGCCTGCCCCGCCGGCCCGCGGCCCCCCTCCGGGCCCGGCTCCCCCGCTCCTCCCCCACCGGGCTGAACCACCCCGCGCGCCGTAAGTCTCCCACCCGGGGCTGCGCCCTCCTGGTCGCGCTCCCGGCCCCGGGCCGCCTCCCCTCCACCCCGGCCCCGCGCGCGCTGCCCCAGCGGGAGGTCCCTGCCGAGCCCCGCGTGCGCCCCGGGCCTCCGGCTGTGGCCGCGGAGCGCTGCGCTCTGCGCCCGGACCTGCCGCTGGGCTCCCGCGGTCACGCGCAGGTGCGCCCGCGCCCGGCCTCCTCCGGCCCGGGCTCGACCTCTCCACCCCCTTCCTCCCTCGCCAGGCGCCGGCGGGGCAGGGGCGCGCGGGACCGCGGCGGCGATGCGCCGGAGCCGCTGAGAGCGGAGGGGCCTCGGCCGGCGTCCGGAGCGGCGTTCGCGATGGAGGCCGAAGGCTTGGACTGGCTTCTGGTCCCGCTGCACCGGCTGGCCGCCTGGGGGGCCGCGGGGGCCATGGTCTTCGGAGGGGTGGTGCCGTACATCCCGCAGTACCGCGACATCCGGAGGACGCAGAACGCCGAGGGCTTCTCCGTCTACGTGTGCCTGGTGCTGCTGGTGGCCAACATCTTGCGGATCCTCTTCTGGTGAGTTGGGGCTTCCTCCTGTCGGGGCGGCCGGCGGGGGCCCGGCGAGTGGGGGCGGGTCGGGCCCCAGCCTGCAGGGACCAGATGAGTGGTCTCAGGCGAGTCGCCACTTGCTATGATTTTGTTTTCCGAAAAAATGGTGGCGTTGGAGCAGAGAACCTCAAAATAATCTCCGGATCTACCTCCTCGATTAATGTGCGGCGTACATACACTCCTCAAACACTCCCCGGGCTGCCTGCTGGGCGCTGCCCCCACTTCCCCGCCCCGGGAATTTGCACTGGCGGTGGGGGAGGGGCGAGGGAGCGCGAGGGGTGACCGACCGAGGGAGCGAGGACAGCTGGCAGGAAGGGCCTCCGGGCCGGGACCGGCTGTCCTGTGGTTTTTCTTTGCTTTGCTTCCTCTTTTTCTTAGGAAGTCAAACTTTCTGGGTAACACTTACGTGGAGACTATTTTTTCTTGACCCTGTGGGCGGACTTCCTATTATTATTTGCATTCTGCTGAGGAAGCTGAGGTTAATTTTAGCAGTTGAAGCCAGACAGTAATTGGGAGGGTGAATTTCAGAGGAAATGAGAAGAGGTTCCACAGCTGCATTCTAAGGCCCACAAGGCCCCCATTTCCCGTCTTCTGGGAGGTCCCAGGGCAGGGAAGGGCTCCAGGCAGCTCTGGTGTCCAGAGCTCTGCTTTTGCCTTTGGTCGCTGAGTGTCTGCCTTTTTACTCTCTGGTTTTTAAATGACCCTTCTGGAAGCCTGACTTGCATTAGGTAACATGTGCCCAGTTTAAGTGTGCAGTTTGGTGAGTTCTGACGGATGTGCCCGGAAGTTCTCTCCTTGCCACTTTGCGTCCTGTGCCAGCCCTGGCCTCCTCCGGCAGCTGTTGGCTTGCTGTCCACTGTGTGCTGGTCTGCCCTGCCTGGAGGTTTTCAGACGGGGAGCTCGGGAGTCCACTGTGTCTTCCCAGGAGAATTTGTCTCCGAGGTGCCCAGTGCAGCTTCGTTTTTGAGTTTGAGTCTTGTCTGGAGGTTTGTCTCTGGGTCAGGCCGTGTCTGGGGCAGGGGCCAGAGGGGGTTCACTTTGAGGATCCCTTCCTTCCTCCCCCTTAACCCTCTGGCTGGGGGTAGAGATGGTGGCTGGGTGCCCTAAAGTGGCCTTAATGAAGTGTAAGGTGAACAGAGGCAGGTCCCTAAATATACTTGTGCCTAATGCTGCTGTTTACTCTGTCATGCAGGGGGTGCACTGGGGCAGCTCACCGGGTTAGGGTCAGCGTGCCCGCCAGCCGGCCGCCATGTGGCCCAGGCTCCCATGTTTAGGTTTTTCTTTTAATTTAAAAATTAATTTTGCTTTGTTGCCCAGGCTAGAGTGAGTGCCGTGGCATCAGCCTAGCTCACAGCAACCTCAGTCTCCTGGGCTCAAGCAATCCTGCCTCAGCCTCCCGAGAAGCTGGGACTACAGGCATGCGCCACCATGCACGGCTGATTTTTTCTATATATATTAGTTGGCCAATTCATTTCTTTCTATTTATAGTAGAGACGGGGTCTCGCTCTTGCTCAGACTGGTTTCGAACTCCTGACCTTGAGCAATCCGGCCACCTCGCCCTGCCCCACCTCTCCCTGCCCCGTGTTTAGGTTTTGAAGGAACATTGTACTTATCTGTAGGGTGGTGCAATGCGTTTCTGTAAATTAATGGAGGAGAACTGCCCGAGGTTGGATTACCAAATGGGAAAAAGTTCTATTTAGAAGTTCTTCCTCCCCAGTATGCTTATGGTTCAAAATGGCCAGAAGAAGCTATCTGACACACACCTAAGTATCTGGTTTGGAGAAGTCGGAAATTAAGCCAGTTCCCTGGTGCCAGCTCGTCACTGCATTTGACAGACGTTTAGAGCAGGGGTTCCCAGTGAAGATGGTGGACTGGGCGTTCTCTCTTGAACTCTTTCCTAATGGTGCATAGGGCGGCCTTCTACGGGACCCTAACATTTGTCCTCTGCTCTCTTGCATAGAACCAACATCCTGAGCTGACCTGGGTTACTCACAGCTTCTGTGGCCACTGCAGGAACATGCAGGGCCCTAGTCCACAGCACATTCCGGAACTGTGGGAGAAAGGAGGGAGGGCAGAGGGTGCTGGTCCCACCTTGAGAGTCTCTCCACCCTGGGGATGTGCTTCCCCGCACCCCGCCCAGCAAAACGCAGCAGACAGCCTGCGGGGGGGGGGGGGCGTCCAAAACTCTGAAACAGCTTCACATCCTCTTTGCCCACCCAGGCCCTCTGCTCCGAGGGTGATGCGATGATCAGCCTATTTCTCTCTGGAGCTGCCTGTTGCCCGACTTCCGTTGTGCGCCAGCCCTGCTAGGTTAGCACCCTCTTTGATTTAGCAGGTTTCTGAGGGTTTCCCATGTGCCAGACACTGGGCTGGAATCTTCAGGGTTTGCGCTGTAGCAGTAGGGATACGTGGAGTGTATCGCACACGTATGTGCACACCCCACCATGCATGCATGCGCACACACGGGGTGTGGGGCGGGAGAGAGCAGGGTGGCTGAGGCAGGCCCCAGTGAGACAGCAGGTGGGCCCACACCAGGACAGCGTGTGGCTGGGATCTTAGTGCTTCCAAGAGCCCAGGCCCTCTGGACTGCGTCTGGCCCCATTGGGGGTGCACGCATATGAGGGCTTCTGCAGTCCTGAAGGGCTGATTTAACTGTGTAACCTAGAAATTCTGAAACTTAGGTAATGCTCCTCTTGTTTCTTACATCACTTTGCAAAACTAGCATTCAGCAGATCACATTCAGGAAATGCTGACAGGCGGGATTTGGCGTCTGTGGTGTCAGGAGCCAGGGGAAGGGCTGGGCGGTGCCTCGCAGCTAACGGGGCGGGCTGACGTGGGCTCCGGGCAGCCCGAGCCGCCGGCACCGACGAAGAACCGGCAGACCGGAGCGGCGCGCCAGAATGAAAAAACGAGGGATCGAGAACTCGCCACAGGGGCTACGGGATGGTTGAGGGGACACAGGAGGAGAAAAGCACAACGTCGCGGCCACGGAGGGGTGGGGGTGGGTGGGGTGTTGGAGACAAGGCTCGGGGCCAGGCTAGAGGGAGGCCAGGGCGTCAGCCTAGGCCAGCAACCGCAAACGCCTGGCGCAGCGAGCCGCGGCGGCCGCAGCCGCCCGAGGAGGGACGAGAGGAGGGCGCCACACGCCCCGGCTAAGGGTGCGTAGATATCGTAGGCGCCAATGAAGTAGGGGAGTGAGAGTAGGAGACGGGTGTGCGCGTGGTGCAGGCGGGGCGAAGTGACCGGAGCAACCGCCCGCCTGGGCCTCCCAGAGTGCTAGGATTACAGGCGTGAGCCACCGCGCCCGGCCCTTCCACTGGAGTTTTTCTGTCACTTGGGGAAGCGGAGGAGTTGTCTCTCTCCGGGCAGACACGTGTGTGCTGTAACCCATGGAGAACCCGACAGAACCGGATCCAGACGGGGCAGCTCAGCGCTTCTCTGAGGAGAAGGCTCCCGCTCCTGTCTGCCGGCTGTCCCAGCTCTTGCTGTTGGAAGAGGCTGTATAAGCCCACACCCTTGGGGCAGGAGAGGAAAAAGTGCTCTTGCAAAGTCCTTGCCAACAATAATTATCGTTAAGGAAGAAAAGTTAAACCAATTTGATAAGTAAAAGCTGGCATCTTTCTATATTAGTTAGCTTTTTAAAATTACTAACGATGTTGAATTTTGTTCCATACTTGTTTTGTCCCTTCTACATCTTTTGTGGAAAGCTGTGCTTTTTGAAACATTATCTTTTTCTTCATCCTAAAATTGGTTAAATGTTCACCTCTGTTCCCCCTTCCATTTTATCTTAAATGGTGTTGTTCTGTCTTTTTTTTTTGAGACAGTCTCACTTTGTTGCATCAACCTAGCTTATAGCAACTCAAACTCTTTTTTTTTTTTTTGAACAGAGTCTCGCTTTGTTGCCCAGGCTAGAGTGAGTGCCGTGGCGTCAGCACTAGCTCACAAGCAACCTCAAACTCCTGGGCTCAAGTGATCCTTCTGCCTCAGGCCTCCCGGTAGCTGGACTACAGGCATGCGCCACATGCCCGGTAATTTTTATATATATTATCAGTTGGCCAATTAATTTCTTCTATTATAGTAGGAGACGGGGTCTCGCTTCTGCTCAGGCTGGTTTGAACTCGACCTTGAGCAATCCGCCCGCCTCGGCCTCCCAAGAGCTAGGATTTCAGGCGTAACCTCAAATCTTGAGCTCCAGCGATCCTCCTGGCCGCCATCCCCAGTACAGTGTTGCGCACCGCCAGGCTAGTTTATAATATATATATAGTATATTTTTAGTTGGCCAATATATTTCTTGTATTTTAGTAGAGAGGGAATCTCGCTCTTGCTCAGGTTGGTTTCAAACTCCTGACCTTGAGCACTCCGCCTGCCTGAGCCTCCCAGAGTGCTAGGATTACAGGTGTGAGCTACCACGCCCGGCCCTCCCTCTGCTTCTATCTAAGCTCTCACCTGTGTGTTTCTCAGGGTCCTCACCAGGGACAGGCTCCAGGAGGCAGCGGGACCCAGGGTGACCTTGGTGACACAGCTTGTCTGCCGAACCCCGGCCCAGCCCTCTGTCTACCCCGGGGCCTGGGCCGCTCTCTCTGCTGCCTTCCTGCAGCTCCGAGTCTCCACGACCTCAGGCAGCTGCTCTGGGGGCCAAGCTCCCAGAAGGTGGGGGGCCTCGGCCTCCTGGACTCGGTGTGGCCACTCTCTGGGAGTCTGTCTCAGCCCCCTGCACCCCACACCGCCTCATCATCTGCGGCTTTTTCTTGGTTGCAGTGGGAGCCTCACCTGGAACCCGCTCCGTCAGGCAGCCCCTTCTCGCCTGCTGGGCCTCTCGCCTGGGTGGTGCTGCTGGTGCGGTTGCTGCTGCCCAGGGAGCATTCAGAGCTGCCCGAGAGGCGCAGCTGGTCGGAATTCACCCTGGCAGTGAGCTACTTTCCCAGCTCGGGCTTGCAGTGCCAGCGGGTTCTGAGGGTCAGTTCTCCACATTTGTGGAGCATGTTTCCTTGTCCTGGAGGCAGACCTTTCAAAGACACGCTCTTTGAGGGCGGGGAGATGAGGCTGCGTCCAAGGTTGCCATTTACAAATTGGTGGCAACAAGTGTCTCTGCTGAGCCCGGTGAGACGTCTTTTGCTGTCTTTGTTTCTTGCATGAATCTGGTGTAGTTCCCTCCCACGGAAGCCGGGCTGGACGGCGGGCGGGGGTCTCCCAGGGCAGGCCCATGTGGACCGGTGGGTTGACGAGGGGGGGCTCCTGCCAGGTGGGGCGAGGAACTCGGGAGCCACCCTTCGTGGCCTCACCCCAGGCAGCCTCTGCTGGAAGCGCACAGAGCGTGTTGCCCACGGCACCAGGCTGCGTGAGAGGCGGACAGAGAGGTGCGGGCTGCGGCGGTTTCTAGTTCCTCAGTGCAGGGGCGGCTGGGAACTTAGACAGCAGTATGGCATCTCCTGACCTTGATGTGCCGGCCACCGGTTCAAGTTCCGGAAATGCCCGTCTGCCCAAACAAGCTCTGGAGGCTGACTGTGGTGGGAATTCAGGTTAGGGTTAGGGTTGGAGCTGCAGAAGGCTCTGGCACACCCCGTCCCAGCCCAGCCTTGGAGATGGTGACCCTGCAGGTTCCAGCCTCATGGTGGCCGTGGGGCCAGGTGGGGGCATCCAGCTCCTGCCAGTCTCGGGGTTGTGGTTCTGCCCTCTGGAGGCCTGAGGTGGAGTCGGTGAGACGCTCAACACGGCGGAAAGTGAGCAGAAGACCTGGGCGTGCACGTCTGCTCCGGCCTGGCGACCCCACCTCGCCCGGGAAGGAAGGGGCAGCTGCCGTGATCCAGAAGCAGGAAGGGCCTCGGACCCCTGGGCCGTGGGAGGGACTCAGCCCCCCCAGCTGGCATCTGGGCCTGGCGGGCGCTGTGTGACCGGCCCAGGGCGTCCGGGGAGGGGGACGTGGCGTTTGGGAAAGCCCAGGCGCGGTGCTCAGGGTGGGTCTGGCTGTCGTGGCCACGATGGCGCTCAAGGCCGCCCCAGGGCCCCTCCCTGCGGGGCGCTGCTGGGGACCCGGGTGGGAGGGCTGGTGTCCGGCAGCCTCCTGACGCAGCGGCTCTCGCCCCCAGGTTCGGAAGGCACTTCGAGTCCCCGCTGCTGTGGCAGAGCGTGGTCATGATCTCGACCATGCTGCTGATGCTGAAGCTCTGCACGGAGGTCCGCGTGGCCAACGAGCTGAACGTCAGGCGCCGCTCCTTCACAGGTGGGTGGTCGGCCGCTCCGGGACTAGAGCCCCGCCGAGCCGGCAGGCAGACTGGTCTCGCGTCCACGCGGCGAACAGAAGCCCGAGAAGCGTTAGATAAGCAGCTTGCGTCTCGCCCAGTGTGCAGTTGCCTGGAGCTGCAGTGGCGTTTTCAGGGCGTGGAATGGCTTTGGACGTTTTGTCCCGGGAAGCAATTCCAGGCCGTGATGGTTTTCTCACTGGGATTCGGGCGAGGACGCAAGCGACCTTCCCACACTCCCCTGGTGGGGACGGTGGCGCCTGCGGGTCTGTGTCAGGGCGGCGAGCGTGTTTCTGTCTGTGTCTAGGCTCTCGGGGGCCGCAGAACGGGGGTGCCTGACAGGGCAGCCTCACGCCCACCTGCAGCTCCTGCCCAAAGCCGCCCCTGCGTTACCGTCCCCCGTAGCGAGGTGACGGGTCCTTCCCACGTGCCGGTTAGCGTGCACCCGAGTCCTGCTGCAGCGGGACCGTGACTCTGCCGTGTGGCTGCACACACGGGCTGCTTGCTCCGTGGTGCTGGGATCTGGGCAGGACCAGGCACATGCTTAGCACACACTTAATACACACTTAGCACTTAGCATGTGCCACTCCTTAACTTTTGGCAGCTCAGAAAATAGAGAGTATTTCTTGCTGTTTTCGCCTTCCCTTTTTCGAGTTCCTTCCAGCCCGGCCTTCTCCGTGTGAACGTGTAGGCCGGCGGGTTCCTTCTGTGGAAGGGTTAAAGCCTTCCTTTTCCTGCTTTTCTAGTTACTAAATCCAAGACAGCTCGCACTTTGGTTTCGTCTGCGGGCCATCGGGGGAGAGAGTGAGGGAGCTGGTTTGATCTCAGCTGCTGCTTGGGGAAGGCCTCTCCAGCGTCTGTTTGGTTCTGGGGCTGCCGTGCGTTTGAATCCGCCGGGCAGTGGGTCCTGTGTTCTTGTTCCCGGTCGTTGTGTTCTTCCCGTTCAGGAGGGCCCATCCTCCTCCCTTTTGTCTGCTTCCGTCGCCAGCGAGAGGCGTTCGCGTTCTCGTTCCGGTCGCTGTGGAGAGAGCGCCCAGCTCTGCGGGGTGGCCGGCCGGCCGGTCGGCGCCGCTTTCAGGGTAAAGGTGGCCACGGACGTCTGCTTCCGGTGCGTTTTGTTCTCGCTCCCCTGCTGATGCCACTTCTCCTCTCTGAGCACCCGCTCTCTTCCCCGGTTGAGCTGTGGGTTTGACATTACTCCAGGGAGGGTGCCAGTCACATCACCGATCTCACCCAGAAAGCCGGGGTTTAGAGCCGGGTCAGGACCCCGTGCCAGGTGAGGCGCTGTGGCTTTCCATTTCCGCTCGGGTCATGTGGGCGTTCTTCTCGCAAGTGTCTGTCTCAGCCCCGGGCCTCGAGCTTCCCATGGCACGATCCACGCCCCCTGGCACCTCAGCGGTGACCTGGACAGGCTGCAGGGCCGGTATCCTCAGCAGCGTTCTCCGGGGGAGGTTTGGAAGCAGAGAGAGGGGCACACACCTCGCTCTGTGTTCCTGCCGCTCTCGGGCCATAGACCCGAGGACGGCTCCGTGCCACTGTCTGAGACTGGGCAGGCCCCGACGCTGGACAGACGCGAGGTGCCAGAGATCGCAGGTTGTGAGGATCCGGGCCGTGCAGCCAGCCTGAGGCTAGTATGTACGTGAGGTTGCTGAAGTGCAGGGAGACCTTCCAGGACCCGCACCCGGCACCTGCCCCACTGGGACTCTTACCTGCAGGTGCGGGCTCAGGTGGGCAGGAGCAGGACTTGCCTTCTTCCGGCAGCGTCATCAGAGGGGTGTTTTAGGTAAGAGAGTGGGACGGTGGATTCCTAATGTTCCATGCACGTTCTTCCAAAGAAATGCTTCTATTCTGATTAACTGAGATTGAGTTAAAATGGTGAATCTGTTTCCAGAGCTGGGGCTGGAAGCTGAATTTGTACCAGGGGCCCCTCTGTGGTGGGCAGGACGGTGGCTGCAGAGGTCCACACTCTGGCCCTGCACCCGTGCCACGTGCAGAGTGACTGCTGGCGCGATGAAGGGGGTCGGAGATGGGAAGCTTGTCCGGGCCGGTCTCTGTGGGCCTGAGCTAATCGCAGGGGTCCTCGACGGTGGTCTGTGCCACAGCTCTGAGGCTGGTGGGGCCCCCAGAAGCCGGGTGGCCGTCACTTTGAACCAGCAAGGACACGGCCCTCGGTCCCACCCCGCAAGGAACTCAGCTCTGCCAAAAGCAACTCGAATGAGCAGGTAACACAGCCCTGATTTTAGCCCCCGAGTCCCACGTGGGACTTCTGGGATCCAGAGCCCTGGGGCAGTCACTCTGTGCCGCCGTTGCCGCCGTGTCTGGGGCAGCCAGTCACAGCAGCGTGGAGAGCGGACCCGCCCTGTCCTTGAGGTTGGGGTGCTGGACACGGTGACCTGAGGCTGGAGGGGAGGGGGGGGGCTTCGGGGACCATGGCCTCGGGGCCGGCAGGTCAACCCGCCCGGCCAGCCTCGCTCCCCTGCGCGGCCTCCTCCGTGAACCGCGGGGCCACGTCCCACGACCTCTGGGTCCCCGATAGGCCCCGCACGACCTCAGGTGGAAAATCCACTCCTAACTGTGCAGACAGGGACGCAGTTCATGTGTTCAGGAATTATTGTATTTTTTTTTGAGACAGAATCTTGCTCTCTTGCTTGGGCTAGAGTGCCGTGGCGTCAGCCTCGCTCACAGCAACCTCAAACTCCTGGACTCAAGCGATCCTCCTGCCTCAGCCTCCTGAGTAGCTGGGACTACAGGCATGCGCCACCATGCCCCGCTAATTTTTTCTATATATTTTTATTTGGCCAATTAATTTCTTTCTATTTTTAATGGAGACGGGGTCTCGCTCTTGCTCAGGCTGGTTTCGAACTCCTGAGCTCAAACGATCCTTCCGCCCCGGGCCTCCCAGAGTGCTGGGATCACAGGTGTGAGCCACTGCGCCCGGCCTGAAATCTCTTTAAATCTGTGTGTTCTCCCTTCCCTCCTCTCTCTGCGTAAGTCTGTCTGCGGCGGTTCGCCTGTGGCGCCCCGATGCACCTGCGTGCACACCTGGGTGCTTGGAAACGGGGAGGTCACTGACCCCAGTCCGCGTTCTTACGAGATTCCCAGCAATTCCTCCGCAGGTGGATTTGGGAGTTGGGCCCAGTCTCCCCCGGTCGTGCCCCGTGGTGGTTCCTCGGGTCTTTGTGTCCTCGGTCTGTGGCCGAGGACAGCGTCCTCCATCCTTGGCTCTTTCCGTAAAAGGACATTTTTAAAGATAACTGATGCCTGGCTCCTTTGGTCGTTCTCAGGACTGCTCTCCCGCTGCGCGGGGCGCCAGGTCTCCTGTCCTCGGCACGGGCGGAGGGGGCGTGTGCCCGGCGGAGGCTCTGGAACGCCGGCGTCTGCTGGCGCTGCCGTGGGGAGAGGCTGCCCCACGCCTGCCGCTGGGCTGTGTGATGGGTGATTTACAGCGGAAGGTCTCCCTCTGTTTACCAGTTTTCAGAGCTGGTTCCCCGGCACCCTGCTGCGACGGCCACCTTGTTTCTGTGTTATTCTGTATGCGTGGATCGAAGGGTACTTGGCATTTCGCTCCGTTGTCCTCTTTGCACTCGGCGGTGCTCTCTGTCAGGCAGGTGGGGCTGCAGGTGGCTCCAGAGCCCCCGGCCCGGCACGAGGTTCTCCCAGTCCCCGTCCTCGGCTTTGGCGTCGCCAGCCGCTCCCTGCCGCACCTGGACTCCTGCCCTGGATCTAGACGCGGTCCTTTCTCCGAGGAGCTCTCGCGTCTGGGACGTGGCGTTGGAGACCACGGTGTGGGCTCGGGTGATGGCTGCGTCGGTGATTGTCGGTCTGGCCTTTCCGGTGGGCAGAGCTAGGGTTAGGGTTAGTGGTTAGGGTTAGGGTTCTTGGTGGAACACCTGTGAGTGCATGGCCGGCTCTTCCCATTCGACCTCCAGCCTGGAGGCCTGGCCAGGCCGCGGGGCCTGGGCTCCACCGGATTCCCGCCTGTCCCAGCTCGTTTCTCAAGGACCGGGAGTAACAGCGTCACCCCGAGTCAGGGTCTCCATGTCAGCGCCAGGGTGATGGGCTCAGGACCAGGGATGGAGGGTCAGGTCGTGGCATTTGAAAGTCCCCAGGAACCACGATTCTTAGCAGGCACGCACCGGCTGGACACGAGGCAGGGTTCATCTGTTTCATTTTATTTTAAATTGATTATCGTTTTTGTAAAATTTAACTTTGTTCTATAATGTATATTTTTCCTCTTAAATTCCTCTTCAGGGTTATCTGAGAAACAGTTTTCTGTGGCTCAAAGTTGGGTCGTTCAATTTCTGTAACATTTGCCCCAAATCTCAGCGTGAGTCCCAGAATGGACCTGGCTTGGGGAGGGTAGAGGGGATTGACTGCTAATAAGTGCAGGGCTTCTTTTAGAAAACAAGACAGCAATGGTGGTTGCACAACTCTGAGAACACACTAAAAACCATTGAAGTGCGCACTTAAAAGGGTGAGTCTTTATGGCATATAATTATCTCTCAGTAAAGCCATGAACACCTGCTGTGTGGGAGGGTCAACTGCCATTTCGCAGGCATTTCGGGGTTCATTGACATCTCTGGACGTCACCTGGACAGTCCCTGTCCCCGCCCCGTGTGCCACCCAAGTCTGACAGGCTCGTCTGGGTTTGCCTGGGCCTATGTGACCACCTTCCCTGTGCCCACCCAGCCCTGCAGCCCTGCAGCCCTGCCCTCCACTGTGCCAGGGGGTCTCCCTCCCTGTGCCCACCCAGCCCTGCAGCCCCGCCCTCCACTGCGCCAGGGGGGTCTCCCTCCCTGTGCCCACCCAGCCCTGCAGCCCTGCCCTCCACTGTGCCAGGGGGGTCTCCCTCCCTGTGCCCACCCAGCCCTGCAGCCCCGCCCTCCACTGTGCCAGGGGGGTCTCCCTCCCAGCCCTGCAGCCCCGCCCTCCACTGTGCCAGGGGGGTCTCCCTCCCAGCCCTGCAGCGGTCTCCCTCCCTGTCCCCACCCAGCCCTGCAGCCCCGCCCTCCACTGTGCCAGGGGGGTCTCCCTCCCTGTGCCCACCCAGCCCTGCAGCCCCGTCCTCCACTGTGCCAGGGGGGTCTCCCTCCCTGTGCCCACCCAGCCCTGCAGCCCCGCCCTCCACTGCGCCAGGGCGTCTCCCCCACCAGACCCCCCTTCACTGGCGCAGTGGTGCTCTCGGGAGGCAGGCGGTGGCCTCTGCCAGCCTCCCCGCCGCTGGCCGTATGGGAACCTGACTCACCCCTGTCTCCAGTCTCTGGGGCTGCTCCACGAGGTGCCTGGAACTCAGGACTTGGAAGGACATTTATTTTGCTCATGAGTCTGCACTTTGGGTCGAGCTTGGCAGGGACAGCCGGCCTCTGCTGTCCTAGGTGACAGCTGGAGTGGCTCTCAGAGGCCGGGCTGGGACCCTGGAGCTCACTTGCCTGCCTGCTGCCTCTGTCTCTCTCTCTCTCTCTGTCTCTTTCTCTCTCACTCGCTCTCTCTTGCTGTCTCTCTCGCTGTCTGTCTGTCTCTCTCTCTCTCTCTGTCTCTTTCTCTCTCGCTCTCTCTCGCTGTCTGTCTCTCTCTCGCTGTCTGTCTGTCTGTCTGTCTCTCTCTCACTGTCTCCTCTCTCGCTCTCTCTCGCTGTCTGTCTCTCTCTCGCTGTCTATCTGTCTGTCTCTCTCTCACTGTCTCCTTCTCTCTCGCTCTCTCTCGCTGTCTGTCTCTCTCTCGCTATCTGTCTGTCTGTCTCTCACTGTCTCCTTCTCTCTCGCTCTCTCTCACTGTCTGTCTCTCTCTCGCTGTCTGTCTGTCTGTCTCTCTCTCACTGTCTCCTTCTCTCTCGCTCTCTCTCGCTGTCTGTCTGTCTCTCTCTCACTGTCTCTTTCTGTCTCGCTGTCTCTCGCTGTCTCTCTCTCGCTGTCTGTCTGTCTGTCTCTCTCTCGCTGTCTGTCTGTCTCTGTCTCTCTCTCTCTCTCTCTCTCACTGTCCGTCTCTCTCGCTGTCTGTATCTCTCACTGTCTCTCTCGCTGTCTGTCTGTCTCTCTCTCTCGCTGTCTCTCTCTCGCTGTCTGTCTGTCTCTCTCTCTTGCTGTCTCTCTCTCGCTGTCTGTCTCTCTTGCTGTCTCTCTCTCACTGTCTGTCTGTCTCTCTCTCTTACTCTCTTGCTCTCGCTGTCTCTCTCTATCTCTCGCTGTCTGTCTCTCTCTCGCTGTCTGTCTGTCTCTGTCTCTCTCTCTCTCTCTCGCTGTCTGTCTCTCTCTCTCTCTCTCTCACCCTTTGCAGCAGCTGGTGCTGCCCGTCAGCTGGGGCCTGGCCGGTTCCCTCGGCGACACCCGTGTGCCCCCCATGCTCTCTCTGGGTGTCCTCAGCGTGGTGGCAGGTTCCAGGTGCAGCCTTCTGAGAGGAGCAGGGGGAAGCTGCACCTTTTTTATGACCTAGCCTTGAAACCACAGCATCCCTTTGTGAACCGGAATGTTCCGAGCCCACCTGTGACCGCGGGGGAAGCGGCAGACACCACGCCCTGGTGGGAGTGTCATGGCTCTGAGGAAGTGGAAAGGTCGCTGAGGCCACTCTTGGACCCTGGGTGCCTGGGCTGCGGTCCGTGTCCAGGGCAGGCCTGTGGAACTGGCGGTTGCTGACACGTCCCTGCCTGGTCTCTCAGTGTCAGACGCTGTCCCCTGCGTCTGCGCTGCATGAACCTTAGGTGGCTGCAGGTGCAGCCCAGGAGAGCCATGGGTGGGACACGCCCTGCACCTGCGCCACGCCCGCTCCCCGCCTGCGGGTTCCCTTTCCCATTGTTGGCAGGCAGCCCCACACCTGTGCTCAGCCCTCACCTGTACTCAGCCCATACCTGTGCTCAGCCCCCACACCTGTGTTCAGCCACACACCTGTGCCTAGCCACACACCTGTGCTCAGCCCTCACCTGTACTCAGCCCACACCTGTGCTCAGCCCACACCTGTGTTCAGCCTGACACCTGTGCTCACCTCCCACACCTGTGTTCAGCCCCACACCTGTTCTCAGCCCACACCTGTGCTCAGCCTCACACCTGTGCTCAGCCCTCACCTGTACTCAGCCCTCACCTGTGCTCAGCCCTCACCTGTACTCAGCCCTCACCTGTGCTCAGCCCTCACCTGTGCTCAGCCCACACCTGTGCTCAGCCCACACCTGTGTTCAGCCTGACACCTGTGCTCAGCTCCCACACCTGTGTTCAGCCCCACACCTGTGCTCAGCTCCCACACCTGTGTTCAGCCCCACACCTGTGCTCAGCCCACACCTGTGCTCCCGCACTCGGGGCCTCCGCTCCAGTGAGCCTTGTGCTGGACGCCCCGCGTGTTCCAGTGCTCTGCTGGTCAGTGTTGCACTCGCAGGCCTGGGGACGAGAGAGAACAAAGTCTGCTTGTGGCTGAGGTGCCCACGTCCTGAACGATCCTCCTCCCGTGGGCGGTCCCTCCTGCCCACCCTGCCTGGGTCTTGGCCTTTAGAGGAGGTGCCAGTGGCTGGGAGATCGGTCTGGGCTGGATCAAAGCAGCAGAAGGGAGGAGCCGAGGAAAGGCAGTCCCTATACTGGGACCCCGGGACCCCGGAGGGCAAACCCTCAGGTCTGGTGGAGACGCCCCGGCTCCCACCCATGCCACTTCTCAGGAGCAGCTACCTGCAGGCAGAGCTGCAGAGTCCGGGGACAGAGGTCTGTCTAGTGTTTGCTTTTAGCTGTTTGCTTGCCAAATTTCCATTTTCAGGTCCAGTCCCAGTTGCCTGGGGCAGGTGCCAGGGAGGCAACCTTTGACCTCACCTCTTTGATCCCTCCTGACTCCTCTGTGTCTCTTTTTAAATCCTGAGCCCGGGAGGCCTCTGCAGCGCCACCTAGAGGACACAGCACAGCACAGTCCCAACCTGCCGTTCTGGGTCTCGGGCTGGGCTGACAGGTCTGGCCAACTCCTGCCCCTCACCTGCCCGTCACTGTCCGTGTCTCTGCCATGCACTTGTCAAATTCACGTGTTGAGCCAGGTGTTCTTGCACACATTTTGTGGGGCATGCTCTGAAACAGCTTTATCAAGACGCCTTCTGAAGAGTTTCGCCCGCTGCGTTACAACTGTGTCACAGCCACGGCTTGTGTGCAGCCGGGGTTCCAGGGAAGAGAGAAGTGGGTCTGTCACGCTGCTTTCTATCAGCGCAGCAGGCACGTGGTGGCCTCGTCCGTCCCTCTTTGACCCAAGAAATTAAATGAAAATGTGATGACTTTCATTTTTGGCCTGAAATTTTTCTCCCCTTCTCTCCATTCAACTTTTATGATACTGGAAAAATAGTTTTTAGGGAAAAATAGTTTAGAAAGTGAATTTTCTAATTCACAGACACCACAATCTTGTGGTATTTCTGATCCAATTTTTTTTTTTAAAGAAGTGCAAAAAGGGCTGGGAGGCGCAGTTGTTTACCAGTGTTAAAACCAGTCTGTTTCTGTCTTTTCCCCTTTCTTTTTCTTCCCTCTTCTTAAACATAGCCGCAGATAGTAAGGACAAGAAACCAAAGGCCCCCCAGGCGGTCCTATCTGGGTATGTACCCGCTGCATGAGGCTGCACCTGCGCACAACGGGTCCTTCCTCTCTGCAGCTCTGCTCCCGTGACCCTGTCATCGATGCTGCTCGAGACCATGCTGCGGTTCTCGCGCCCACTAGCGCTGGCATGTCCCCGCAGACTACCCCCCACGGCTCCGCTGTTTGAGTGAGAAGTGGTTCTTGGAAGTCTGCCCATTGCGTGTGTGTGTGTTGTATGCTAGTTGTGTGTGGAGTGTGTTATGTGTTTGAGGGTCGGTGTTGAGTGTGTGGTTGTGTGTGAGTGTGTCGTTTATGTGGTGTTGTGTGTGTGTTGTGGTGGTGTTTATGTGTGGTGAGTGGTGTGTTTATGTGTGTGAATGTGTGTGATGTGTGTATGTGTGAGCTGTGGTGTATGTGTTCCTGAGTGTGTGTGTTATTGGTATGTGGAGTGTGTGATTTATGTGTGGAGTGTGTGGTGAGTGTGTGCGGTGTATAATGGCTGTATGTGTGTGTTTGTGGTGTGTGTTTCATGTGTGTGTGGAGTGTGTGTTTATGTGTGTGTTGTGAGTGTGGTCATGTGTGTGTGTTGTATGTATGTGTAGTGTGTGAATTATGTGTGAGTGTGTCGTGAGTGTGTGTGGTGATGTGTGGTGGTCTGGTATGTATGTTGTGAGTGGTGCTCATTATGCTGGAGGTGTGTGAGTGTGTGTGATTGATGTGTGTGTGAGTGTGTGTGTGTGTGTTATGTGCTTAGAGGGGGAGGGAGGGAGGGAGAGCGGAGGAAAGAAAGGACCAAATTTCGGGGTTACAAGTTTTGGATTTTCTTTGTTAAATCTATTCCAAAGCATTTTATTTTTCTGATGCTGTTGTCCATGGAATTATTTTCTTATTAATAATTTCATTTTGGAATTGTTCATTGCTACTTTGTAGAAATAAAATCATTTCATATCGATCTTGTATTGTGCAATTTTGCTGAACTCGTTTGTTAGATCTAATAGCTGTTTAGTCTATTCTTTAAGTTTTTTTTTTTATATATATAATTCTGTCATCTGCAAATAGAGGTAGTTTTTCTTCTTCCACTCAGAGTTGGTTGCTTTTTATTTTTTTTTCTTGCCTAATTACCCTGGTTAGAAGCGGAGAGCATGGATATGCTTGTCTTGTTCCTGACTTTCATGAGAAAGTGTTCCATCTTTCATCATTAAGTGTGATGTTAGTTATGGGATTTTTATAGTTGCCCTCTGCATTTGTGTTTTTATCATGAAAGAATATTAGAGTTTACCAAATACTTTTCTGTGTCTGTTGAGATGACCATGTGTTTTTTATTGTGTTATTATGGTATATCACGTTGGTTGATTTTTGTATGTTGAACCAACCTTTCATTCTTGGGATAAATCCTGTTTGATCGTGGTGTATAACACTTTTTATCTGTTGCTGGATTCTGTATTATGTTGAGGATTTTTGTGTCCGTATTCATAAGAGATAATGGTTTGTAGTTTTCTTTTCTTGTGATGGCTTTGTCTGGTGTTAGTATTAGGATGATACTGGTATTATAAAATAAGTCGGCTGAGGCAGGAGGATCCTGTGAGCCCCACAGTGTGAGGTTGCCGTGAGCCACGATGACACCACCGCACTCTGCCCTGTACCCAGTGGGGAGAGAGTGAGACCCTATCTCAAAAAAAGAAAAAAAGCTGGAAGTGTTCCCTCCTTTTTAAATTTTTTTTGTGGGGGAAGAAGAAGGATTCCTCTTTATATATTTGGTAGAATTATCCCATGAACCATCTGGGCCTGAGCTTTCCTTTGTGGGCAGTTTTTAAATGACTAATTCTAATTTAATCTCTCATTATAAGTCTATTAAGATTTTCTATTTTTGGCCAGGCACGGTGGCTCATGCCTGTAATCCTAGCATTCTGGGAGGCCGAAGCGGGAGGATCGCTCAAGGTCAGGAGTTTGAGGCCAGCCTGAACAAGAGTGAGACCCTGTCTCTACTAAAAATAGAAAGAAATTAGCTGGACAACTAATATATATATATATATTAAAATTAGCCAGGCATGGTGGCACATGCCTGTAGTCCCAGCCCTCACTCGGAGGCTGGCAGGGGTACGCTTGAGCCCAGGAGTTTGAGGTTGCTGTGGCATAGGCTGACGCCACACGCACTATGCCCAGGCCAACAGAGCCAGACCTCTGTCTCAAAAAAAAAAAAAGATTTTCTATTTCTTCCCGCGTCAGTTTGGTAGTTTGTGTTGCAGTTTGTCCACTTCACATATTTAATTCCACCTTATCTAGATATTATTGCCACATGGTTTTTCTGAGCATCCACTTGTCCCTCTCGTTTCTGTGAGATTGTGAGTGACAATCCCGCTGTCATTCCTGACGTCAGTGATTTGAGTCTCTCTGAAACGCCCTCACTGCCAAAGTCTGGATAAGCCTTGTCAATTTTATTGTTCTTGTTAAAGAATCAACTTCGGGTTTTATTGATTTTCCTTATTGTTTTTTAATTTTCTAGTTTATCTAATTCCATTCTAGTGTTCTTTCTCTCCTTCTGCCTACTTTGGGTTTAGTTTGTTCTTTTCCTAGTTCCTTAACACGTAAGGTTAGATTACTGAATTGAGATTTTTTTCTTTCTTCCTTTTTAATATGGGTGTTTATAGCAATAATTTCCTCTAAGCAAAGCTTTAGCCGCATCCTGTAGTTTTTATTGTCTCTTTGTTTTCATTCAGCTTAAAGTATCTTCTAGGCCGGGCGCGGTGGCTCACGCCTGTCATCCCGGCACTCTGGGAGGCCGAGGCGGGTGGATTACTCAAGGTCAGGAGTTTGAAACCAGCCTGAGCAAGAGCAAAACCCTGTCTCTACTATAGATAGGAAAGAATTAATTGGCCACTAATATTAGAGAAAAATCAGCCGAGCATGGTGGCGCATGCCTGTAGTTCCAGCTACTCAGGAGGCTGAGGCAAGAGGATTGCTTGAGCCCAGGAGTTTGAAGTTGCTGTGAGCGAGGCTGACGCCCCGGCACTCACTCTAGCCTGGGCAACAAAGCGAGACTCTGTCTCAAAAAAAAAAAAAAAAACCAAGTATTTTCTAATTGCCTTCAAGATTTCTCCTTTGAAGTATTTATTCCTAAGTTTATTTAGGAGTGTGTTAACTTCCACATATTTGTGAACACCCCCAATTTCTTTCTGTTATTGCTTCTATTTCCATTGTGGTTGTAGTACATACTTTGTGTGAGCCCAGTACTTTTTTTTTTTTTTTTTGAGACAGAGTCTCATTCTGTTGCCCAGGCTAGAGTGAGTGCCGTGGCGTCAGCCTAGCTTACAGCAACCTCAATCTACTGAGCTTAAGCAATCCTCCTGCCTCAGCCTCCCGGTAGCTGGGACTACAGGCATGCACCACCATGCCGCCTAATTTTTCTATATATGTTAAGAATTAAATTCTTTTATTTTTTTTTTTCTTTTTTATTTTAAAGCAGTCATTTGCAGTGGGAGGATTATATATTTCTTGTTACTATATATTTCGTGTTACTATATATATATTTTGAAACACAAAATATATGTTTCGTGTTACTATATATATTAGTTGGCCAATTAATTTTTCTATTTATAGTAGATACAGGTCTTGCTCTTGCTCAGGTTGTTTGAACTCTGCCTCCAAGCAATTGCCCACCTCGCCTCCCGAAGCTAGGATTACAGTGTGAGCCATTGCCCCTGGCCTTGTATCTTTGAATTTAAAGTGTATTCTGTAAACAGCATATAGTGGGTCTTTAAAAAAATTCATTCTGGCAGTTTTGCCCTTTGATTTGATTGTTTATCACATTCACATTTAATGTTATGATGTGTTTGGACTTACATCTGTCATTTTACTTTTTGTTTTCTATGTCTTCTGTCTTTTTCCCCTCAGTCGTTGCTTCTGTATAGGTAGGTTTCTTTTGTCTTAAGTGGCTATATCCTAGCATAACATTTTAATTTCTTTAATAATTTTTTACCTATATATTTTGAGATATTTTCTTAGTAGTTACTCTAAAGCTTACAATATGCATTTTTTTTTGAGACAGAGTCTCGCTCTGTTGCCTGGGCTAGAGTGCTGTGGCATCAGCCTCGCTCACAGCAACCTCAAACTCCTGGGCTCAAGCGATCCTACTGCCTCAGGCTCCAGAGTAGCTGGGACTACAGGCATGTGCCACCATGCCTAGCTAATTTTTTCTATATGGTTTTAGTTGGCCAATTAATTTCTTTCTATTTTTAGTAGAGACGGGGTCTCGCTCTTGCTCAGGCTGGTCTCGGACCCCTATCCTCGAGCGATCCCCCGCCTTGGCCTCCGAGAGTGCTGGGATGACAGGTGTGAGCCATCATGCCTGGCCTTACAATATGCATCTTAGTTTATCAGATGCAAATTTATACTAACTTCAAATTTATACTAACTTAACTCCAGATAGAAACCTTATTCCTGTGTAGTTTTCTTCCCTCCTGCCTTTCTAACGGTGAGATCATCATACATGTTGTGTCTACATATGTTACACATCTAATAAAACATCGTTCTGATTGTTCCTTTATATAACTTCTGTCTTCGAAAGTTGAGCGAAGAAAGGAGAATCAGCACACATTTATAATTATTGTCTTAACCTTGTCATTTGCCATTTGTGGTTCTCATCATTTCCTTCTGTGAATGTGTCGCCATTTGCTGTCACTTCCTCACTCCGACACAGTTCTGATCCCGCCCACTCACGTGTGCTATTATTGTCAGGCGTTTTGCATTTCTGTATGTTAAAGGCCCCCAAATAATGCAAAGCATATTGTTTTATGCAGCTACTTTTTCAGTCAGTTAAGAGAGGAAAGGAGAAGAAATATGCACTTATATTGTGTTTCACAATGACCTGCACAGTTTCCTTGACCTGCACTCTGTGTTTTCGTGTGGATTCGAGTCACATCGGCTGGCTCGTGCTTTCAGCATGAAGAGCTTACTTGTTTTCTGTAAGGTGGGTTTGCTAGCAACACATTCTCCCAGTTCTTATTTATCTGGGAGTATCTT